TAAACTTAATGCTCTGGAACGAGATATTCTTAAAAATGCGATGCACTGGAACGGAAATATTAAAACCTAGGGTCTCCGGAACGGCAAAAATGTAAGATCTGAATGGTAACTAAACTTAATGCTCTGGAACGAGATATTCTTAAAAATGCGATGCACTGGAACGGAAGTTTAGGGTTAGGCTTGAAAATGGGAGTCTCTCCCGCGGCACATACATACCATGGGAGCCGCATGGGAGTCTCTATCGCGGCACATACATACCTTTCAATATATATGGAGTGCCCCCCCCCCACCGACCCAGTTAAGGCTCAACAATGCAATAGTCATGCATGTGCACGAGACACGTTAGACAAGGTAGATGAACAAAATGTAATTTCAGAATTTGTAAGTTGCCATCCATGATCCAGGCAGAAAAGATAAAATTGGAATAATAAAAAAATAAAATGACAAGTTATCTGACTGGACTGTCTGGTATTACTATTAATACTGATCAATTAGAGGTGCTATATCAGTGCTCTAAGATTTGGAATGTGTATTTAATATGACAATGTGCCTATTCAAATTCAAACTTCAAAACATACAGATGTACATAGTGAAAGTATAAATGCTTATTTTTCATAATTATGTACTGATAGTATATACAATTTTGTAAATAATGTTTTATTAGTTATCATACTCATAATATATATTTTAGATACTTTAGTCAAAACATCAGCTTTGGCTACATTCCTCTTTGAAATTTACAAATTGACCTTTTAAAATGATCAGAATTGGTTGCTTTCAACATAGCCTGCAAATGCATAAAATGCCATTTCCAGGCTCTACATTTCAAACTTTTTCTGGGGGAGCACCCCCAGATCCCCGCATCGGCTACATATTTCTGCAGTGGCACTTTTTGGGAGGCCACTACGGCCCTGGCATGTGGAACTAGATAGGTGGAGCCGTGAGCATGTAGAACTAGATGGGCGGAGGTGTTCGCATGTAGAAACATGGAGAGAGGTGGGCGCATATAGAACTAAAAGGTAGCGCAGAAACCCCCATGTGTGGTAGTATGTGAGCTGCCTAGTGTATTCATGTGATTGCTTCTCAGCTATTTGTGGGAAACAGTAGACCTAAAATCAGCACGCACGATCACGTGTGGGCGTCATGAAGACAACACATAGATGCATCTCGATTTTCTCTGTAGCTAAAATTTATTGCCCACTAGGATATACACATAAGTACCATACACGGACACATGTAGCATGCTTTAAGTAGAAATTCCACGTTCATTGATTGCCTAAACAACTCACAAGTATTAGCACGAGTAGATCCAGTGGTAAAATCAAAATAAAATCCGTTCACATTGCTTACATAAAGATTCCAACAACATATTGTTCATATATAAGGGGCGTGTGGCGTGTGGATTTATATATTTGGCCCCTCACATTGCGCTTTGGTCACGAACCTGACACGTATATTCTTCATATTTTAAAGTTTGTTCGTCACATAAACCACATTCTTACAAAACGGTAACTAGTATAATAAATAAGCTTTAAATAACTGTGCCTGTTTGCCATGCTACAATATAAAATATTCCAGGAAAGAAGACTTCCGATGACAACATCCTACAAGAATAAATTACAAATGTATCATTCGAGACTGAGAATTTACGTCCCCTACTCCCCAGAGCCCCAACCTACATTCGACCAGGAATCGCGTTCCCATTTGCCACCTGCAAAATACACATCATTACACGTGAATTGGCACGCTTTGGCGCACAAATATTTTAGGCCATCACATTGTACACATATACGTTTAGTTTAAAAAAAAATATACTCTACCTCTACACATTCACATGCACTTACATACGGTTAAATAGTGGTACATACTCACGTTATTACATTTACTATTATTAATAACATCCGTATATAGACAACCCCGCATATACAACAGTATATATAATTATGTCGTACACTTCATTCTAGCTTCACGCTAGTTTCATCTTGTTTTGTCTTGTCTTGTTCTAAGAACGTTAGGGATATTCTGGCCATTTCTTACCGTTATGCGCATGGGCCCTCTGTGAGAATCGAGCCCAGACCTACACAATACTAAATTAATATAGCCTCTTACAAAGTATAGGCTATAAAGAAAAACCACCTCAATTCCTCCGATTCTTGCGCGTACAATATATGCGAGGTTGGCTGTACTTCTGAGACCAATTAGGGGAGGAGTTGAATCTACACCTATATACAGTACAGTGCACATAATTATAGTTATGCCCGGCGCACACAGTGAGATTCATGCTGTCAGAGCACGGAGCGTGGGTATCGTGCTCAGTGGGATTCCCACACCCGCACACACGGTGAGATTCATGCTGAGCACGGAGCGTGGGTATCGTGCTCAGTGGGATTCTCACACCCGCACACGGTGAGGTTCATGCTGAGCACGGAGCGTGGGTAACGTGCTCAGTGGGATTCCCACACCCGCGCACACGGTGAGATTCCTGCTGAGCACGGACCTTACGAGCGGGTGCCATTGTAGGTCATGTGACTGATCAAAATGGCGGAACCAATCGAAATGCACCGTCACTGAGTGAGTGTAAGCAGGAGTCTCACATACCCGCACACGCCGAGTTTTCAGCCTCGCCAGACCAAAATTATCAAACACGACAAATATTTTCCTCACTGCCTCGCGAGACCGAAAACTCACATAAATCAACCCTGCACACACTGAGATTCGTGCTGAGCACGAAACTCACGCTCCCTGCCTAGCATGAATCTCACCGTGTGCGCCGGGTACTAGATGGCACCACAACGGAGCTAGCCAGCATGCTATGCATCCGATTGTCACTTTTCGTGGCTAGTCTTAGTCACAACCAATCTCTACATGTATGTATATAAAAGAAACATAAATACAACCAGAACAATACGCGGCTCAGAGATCTAACAGAATCAATATATCAAGCACATAATTATCATTACAAAGCAGGTTGGCAAAAGTTACTCCGCCTACAGATCAATGCAATCATAAACGAGTTTATTCCAGGTTTGCACCCAAAACCCTTAACAACTGGACACTTAGTAATCAACCGTTTGAAACTTGAAAGTGAAATGGGTACCACTAACTCTCCCGTTACACCACACTATGGCTCACAATACCATGCAAACAGCGATACTAAGCATACAGATCTCAAGATTTGTGTAGACACTAGGAGAAGATGGTGATCACGTCTCGGCTGCCACATCACACCGTCGTTCACAACACTATGGAAACAAAAATGCTAAGATACAAATTTATATCATCATTAGACCAGAATTTCATGCGGTGAAAAACACCATGCAAACATCGATGCTTGGATACAGATATTAACATTCCTCAACAATTTTACCTTGTTTATACCATGAGATTCATGTGTAGAGACTATGAGAAGATGGTAAACACATGCCAGCCACTAATGTGCACTATCGTTCACAACACTTGGCAAAAAAACGAGGCCAGGATATAGATATTTTAAGATTCCTCCTGAATTTCACCTTGCTTATTACTACGAGATTCATGCGTAGAAACTATGAGAAGATGGTGAACACCTGCCGTCAGCTAACGCATATCATGGCTAACGACACTTGGCAAACAACAATTGTAGGATTACTCCCGATTTTTACGTTGCTTAAACCACGAGATTCATGTGTAGAGATTATGAGAAGATGGTCAACACATGTCGTTGGCTAACGCGCACCATGGTTCACAACACTTGGTAACCAACAAGGTCAGGATATAGATTTTAACATTCCTCCAGATTTTTACCTTGCTTATACCACTAGATTCATGCTTAGTTGCCAGGCATAGATGTTGATCACCTGTCCACCACCAATGTGCACCATCGCTTATAACACGTAATAAGCAGTGATGCTAGGATATAGATGCTATCATTCCTCTACTAGAATCATACATAGATTCTAGGAATAAATGGTGACCACCCGACATCCGCTAGCACCCACAATCGCTCATAACACCTAGCAAAAAGTGATGCTAGGACATAGATCATATCGTTCCTCTACTAGATTCATGCGGAGACGCTAGGAGTAGATGGTGATCACCTCGCGTCCGCTGCCGCGCACCATCAGCACCTTCTCGATGCCCTCAGTGAGCACCTCAAGGAACTCCATGTAGTTCTCCTCGCCGGCCGAGTGCTTCGGTGGACCGGGGAGGTTCAGAATGACTAGCTGCGCGTCGTGCGACTTGTTCACGATTGCCTCGTTCAGCTTGACGGCCGTGTGCATCCGCCGCACGTTCATCACGTCCGGCTTGATCTTGAGCAGGTTCGAGAAGCCAGATCCGTCGCCGGGCGCCCCCGCCGCCGTGTCCTTCCCGTCCGACGTGGCTTCCCCGCTCTCGTCGTCGTCGTCGCTCATCGACTCGTCCTCGTGAACGGTGTCGAGGCGGGTGGCTCGCACGCGGCCGGCCGTCGTCACGGCGGCGGCGGCGCCCTCGTGGTGGTGGTCGACGATGTTCTGCACGAGGCGGCGGTTCTCGGTGCGCGTCAGCCGCATGTCCTTGAGCATCTCGTTGCGCTGCTCCATCATGAGCGTGCGCTCGTACGTGTACGCCGTGATGTCGCTGTCGACCATCTCGACGACCTCGACCTCGGCGTCGATGCGCAGGTGGTAGAGGAACAGCTTCAGGTCCTTCTTCATCTGGATGCTGTTGTCCTCCAGCTGCGCGACGGTGAAGATGCGCATGCGGCAGCTCTTCCAGACGCGGTGCTGCCGCAGCAGGAACGGCAGCAGCATCAGCAGGCCGCCGTCGTGCACGATCCACCAGACGTCGATGTTGCCCGAGACGCGCTCGCTGCCGCTCGGAAACCCGTCGACACCCTTCAGCACGAGCAGCGCGTCCTTGTTGTAGGCGACCGTGCGGATCGTGTCGATGAACACCTTCCACAAGCGCTCGTCGGCGGACTGCCGCCAGCCGTACGGCCAGCCGAGGATGACCGTGTTGTGGCGCATGCCGCCGAGGCCGGCGCCCTGCACGAGGAACGTGACGGCGTCATGCACGTCGCGCGCGACGATCACGTCCACGAAGCCCTTCACCTTCTCCTCTTTCGTGACGCGGATGAGCGCCTGCTTCGCGGCGTGCGCCTCGCCGATCATGTTGCGGTACTCGCCCTCCAGCACAGACGCGATCAGCGTCAGGCCCTTGCCGGCCTTCAGCTGGCTCGCGAACGTGATCATCTTGCCGTGCTTCGGCAGCAGGTCGCCGCCGAGTTTGACGAGCACGAGAAGCTGCGGCCGCCAGTTCTTCGTGTGCGGCGGACCCTCCTCGAGCCTCAGCAGACTGTAGCGCGCTGCCGACAGCGCCAGGCCGCGGATGCCGTCTCCCCACTCCTTCTCGGCGCCGCGGTATTCGATGTACTTGTAGATGCAGACGGCGAGAGCGATCGCGGTGAGCGCGTAATACCAGCTGGTGATGAACATGACCGAAATGCAGAGACTGAGGCCGAGGAAGGACAGGGTCCAGTGGTAGAAGCGGAAACGGGGTCGCCAGTTGGGCGTTCTCAGAAGAGTCTGCAGGGCGCAGGCGAGATTCACGAAGCCGTAGCACATGAGGAAAAACATGGTGATGATCGGCGCGATGTAATCGAGGCTGGCAATGAGAATTCCAAGCTCTGAAATGAAGGCAGTGAGCAGCAAGGCCCGAGCTGGCTCGCCCCTTTTTGTGCTCGGCCCAAATATGCTCAAGAACGGAATGATGTTGTCGCGTGCTATGGCTTGCAGCAAGCGTGGAGCACCGGTCAAGCTCTGCAGTCCAGCGCCGAGCGTCGACAAAAACGACCCAATGACAATAACGAGCGGATGCGGCCAACAGAGCTGTGCAACGATCAAGCTGCCATCTAAACTGTCGCCGTACTTGTCAAGCAGAAGACGGCGGTCGATGGCCGAGCCAAACAGGAGGACGCACGAAAAGTACACAATGGAAGTAGTCACGATGGCCATGATCGTTCCTATTGGTATGGACCTCGACGCGTCGGCCAGGTCTCCTGACCGATTGGAACCGGCCATGATGCCTGTAACCGAGGGGAAGAAGATGCCGATGAGCACCGTGAAGGAGGAAGCCATCGTCGAGACAACCATCGTCTTGCTGTTCCCCTTGACACCACGCGCCACTTCCCCCTCGACCGTGTACGAATTGTCCCAGTTATCCCGGATCACGCCGCTCGCCAACCCCGGAATGCCCTGCACGCGGTGGAATTCGTTGTCGGCAAAGTACGGATCGCAGTCCTGATAGTCCTCGGTCGTCGTGTTGTACGTGCAGTACTCGTTCCACTGCGCCGACTTCAGCGTTTTGTTCAGGTACTTGCTGCATGGGTCGGCGTAGTCCGACTTGAGGAGGCGATCTCCGAGCGCGCACGGCTCCACGCGACCCGTGATGCCGAACGGCTTCACGAACACGCCGACGTAGATCGAGAGGATGGAGAGGATGACGCAGAACAGCGACACCGTCGCGAACTTGTTCACGAAGCGCACGCCGACGAACACGATGCTGACGAGGACGATCAGCATAAGGGTGCCGTACACGCGGAAGTTGTTGAACATGCCCGCCGGGTCGTTCGTCACGTCGCCAAACAGCGAGATCTGCGGCGCCATGTACGTGAGCAGGATCTCGACGGCGCCGAGGATGTACATCGCCGACGCGAACGTCGTGCCCAGGTAGAAGAGGATGCCGACGGCGCCGCCGAATTCGGGTCCGAGTTCGCGCGAGATCATGAAGTAGGAGCCGCCGCCGGGCACGACGCCGTTCGTCGCGATCGCGCTCATCGAGAACGCGGTGAGCAGCGTCACGGCGCAGCAGAGGAAAACGACGAAGAAGCCCTCGACGACGCCGGCGGCGCCGACCAGCCAGGTGAGACGCAGGAAGAGAATGACGCCGAAGATGTTCTGTATGCACGGCAGGTAGACACCCATGAGCGTGCCCATCCTCGCAGACTGCACAACCTCGGCCTTCTGAGTGTCGCCCTCGACCGTCGGGATGACAGGGTTGTAGTTGGCGAGAGAATTAAGTAAGGTTGCAATCTTCGGCCTCTCCTGGATATCCTCGTGGTAGAGGTAGAGGTGCTTATCCGGGCCACCGAAGTTGACGTCGTCCAACATTGCAAACGGCTGCTGGTCACAGTGCGAGGTCACGTCAGTGTATGTCTTCGACGCATAACCCTCGCTATCAGTCGGGCTGATCAGTTCTATGTCGACATTAGCGGGCACGTTTCCTGTAGCACCATAATCTCTCCCGGATGAATTAGATGTGATATCCGTACCTGGTCCCTGCGGAGCAGCATCGCCATTGTTTGACTTGCTGACAGTGAACCGCAGTCCAGAAGAAGCCATGGTTGAGATGTCTGAAAAAAAGTTCACAGGTTTACACACATTGAATGAAAACAGATCAATTATCACAAAGGATTACTGGGAGTAGCATACAAGACAAGTACTATATATATAGTCCTATCTGCAATATTAGAGTTTGTAGATTGAGTACCTGTTATTGAGCCCAGAGATTTTGCTCTCATTTAGTTCTTCTGCATTTCAATTTTTTGAAGGCAATTAAAAACTACTTGCTAATAACTTGTACAATCACAGTTTATCACTAATTTTTCCAGGGTGGGAAAACCTGGCTCCTAACATTTGTGGCTGCGAATCCCAAGTTGTGGCTTGGATGATTGATTATGTTTTAACTGGCAACTACAACTGGTCAAATCTCGAGTACTACTGGCGTAAACAAACCACTGAGGGGCGTAAAAACAACCTGGCAGTAACCACGTTTAATGTCAGGTGGAAATAGCATGGTGGAACATTCCATTGATAATTTTAGAAAGATATAGCAGATGGGAGAATTTTCTATGTTGTTTCTGGAAAGTATATATGTATATATGTATAATAGATCTATCTTGGTTAATTTGTACTCAACCGTGTTGATTCAAACGTACCGCCGACGTTTCGCCTCCTATCAGGAGGCTTTCTCAAAGCTGACTGAAGTTATCAGTTTTGACCACCAGATGGTGTAGTGGTCAACAGCTTGGTTCACACGTGACTGAGTCTGTATCCCCCCTCATCACGGCTGATGTTCGGAGTCTTGCGGATCTAGATGGTCTCCTTAATCCAGTGCCTGATTTTGATTGGCTCGCGGTCGATGATCTTCGACTTATCCCAATCGGTGGTGTGATTGTCCTTCGCTACGTGGTCCGTGATCGCGGATTTGGTTATATCGGTAGCCGACTGTTTTCGTTGGGCCCTTGTGAAAGATTTGGAAGCTCCGGTGTCTACGTCCTTTTTATGTTAGACTTTTAAGGCGGGTTTCAAATTTTCGGCTGGTTTCTCCAATATAACCTTTTCCATACATTGCACACGGTATCTTGTAGACACAGTCTGTAATGTTGTGTATATCTGTTCTGTCCTTAGGGTGCACCAAATGCCATTTTAAGGTCTCAAGCAGTCTAACTATTGATGCATTTTTTTTAGGTGACGTTGAACTACATCTGTGACGCCCAGCGTTCAAAATTAGTGCCGACCCGGAGGCCCGAGGCCACCAAGTTTTTGCTTCGGCCACCATCTCTACGAAACTGCCGGTCCTCGTGACCGGCACTTTTTCCCCTCATGTTACGCTGAAATACTACGGTTATTGCAACGGCAGTTTAGACAGACTTGTAAACGGGAGCGCATTCTGTTCCTGAACGCTCCGTTCCTGAACGTAGACGGGGCATCCAAAACATCTAGAGCTGAGGGCATGAACTCCCTCAACGCATGATTTGCCACACGAACAAAAACTTGTGAGTCTAATAAATCGATTGTGGCGTGTAACGAAGCCTAGTGTTTTTATGACCGCATAACAATATGTTCATATGTCGCAGGGGTTATCGTGGCGAGTGAGGGCACGACCAGTGACACCGGACACGCACGTAATCAAAGCTAAATTCGTCACTTTTCTTTACATAGAAAGTGGACCATTTTTATTCAGTTAGATATCTAAAAGCAATGTAAGCTGTATATACTTCAAGATTCTAGGCACTTGTAACTTTGCGGATGTGCGGCAGCATTGATCTATGCATGGGGGTACCGTGGACAGGGGGGGGGGGGGGGAAAGAGGAGAAAAACGAAAGTAAAACCTTTCCCAGAAGCTCCCCCGACATTCCTAGAGCTTGAAATATATTATGTGACCAACTTTAAATTACATGTATGTATGCTGTTAATGAAAATGAACAGCCAATTAACAGCCAACAAGTTTATACCAATTAAATGGTTACTTTTATATACTATTTTGTTACACACTGCTAGTAAATAAGCGGACCACCAACTTTTGTGCAGGACCACCAACTTTCTGAGGTCCTGCTGTCCACTAGATTTTCAGCCAAAATTCGAACCCTGGTGACACCTCTGACATATATATGGTAGGACAATCATCGCTTTCGGTTTCTCAGTGGAGGTTTTCTTATAGGGTTTTGTTCGGCCCCTTGAAATGTTCAGTTACAGTCGGCTACCGAAATAACCAAATCCGCGATCACAGACCATGTATCGAAGGACAATCACACCATCG